CATGTTACCAGGATCAGACTCTCGGCCATTGGTTAGAGTTGCCAACCTCCTAGTGGAGCCTGATCTGAAATTACAAGTGATCTCCAGACTGCAGCAGTCACTTTCAGTTGAGGAAATGTCAGCTTCAAAGGGTGAAATCCATGGCCTCATGCTCCGGAATCCCCAGGAATTTCCTACACCAGCGTTGGCAGATCTGCCACTGGTAAAGATCTGAGTTGCATCTTACATTTATTTATCAGTACAGCATGATAAAAAGCAGAGACATCACCCTGCCAACAAAAGTCTGCATGGTCAAAGCAATGGTATTCCCAGTAGTCATGTATGGCTGTGAGAGTTGGACTATAAGGAAGACTGAGCGCGGAAGAATAGATTCTTTTGAACTATGGTGCTGGAGGAAGACTCTGGAGAGTCCCTTGGACTGCAAGGAGATCAAATCAGTCAATCCTAAAAGAAATCAACCCTGATTGTTCCCTGGAAGGCCAGATAATGAAACTGAAGCTCAAATACTTTGGCCACCAAATGAGAAGGGACCACTCCCTGGAGAAGACCCTGATGCTGGGAAAGATTGAAGGTCAAAGAAGACGGGGACGACAAAGGATGAGATGGTTAGACAGTGTCATAGATGCAACGAACATGAAATTGAGCAAACTTCAGAGAACGGCGGAAGACAGGGCTTGGCGGGACCTGGTCCATGGGGTTGCGAAGAGTCGGACTCGACTGTGCGACTGAACAACATCATTTTATCCTACCCTTGTATGAAGAGCTCAGGTGTCTGAACCAAAGTTACCCAGGGCTCCTCATGGAAGTGGAAATTTAAACGCAGGTCTTCCCGATCCTACTCTACTACACTGGTTTTTGCGGACTAGATCTCACTTCTGCAGACGTTTTAAGTAAGGTTTTTCTTTTTAAAAGGTTTTTGTTTTCCACGCCCCTACTTACACTGCCTAGAAATGGTCTACTACACTGTGTCCGAAGAAGAGGAGTCGAGTCCACAAACACGTGATAAAAATGGTGTTAAAAGACTAAACCGCTTCTGTTTACTTTTGCTGCACCCGCCCAACCTCTCCGGAATCATGGGGCATTAATGTGGGCGCAGCACAAGGAAGCCTGACCGCCTGAAACTTGAATAGCTAGAAAAGAGGGACTTCGGCGTCGGGTGTACAGTACGAAGCAGAGCTACCAGGGCAGCGGTTCTCTAGTTCTTCAAGGGGAGGGGAAAGGCTAGGGCCCACCCACTCCCGGCCCCTCTAGTCCCAGAGACGCCCTGTGGGTGGGTGGGTGGGTGGGAGGGAGGGAGCGCTCGCTCGCTCGTCCCTCGTTTGTCCTTTGTCGCTGCCAATCGGGGCGGAGCTGGGGAAGCCGTCGAGAGGCCCAATGCTTCCAGAGCTGGGGTAGGTGAAGGCAAAATCGTAGCGGAGAAGATATGGGGAGAGACGCGCTGCAGCCCAGCGACTTGCCTGCCCTCGTCCACTCTCGAGGCACAAAGAGAAGCAGAGCCGTTTCCACAAGTGGCACCTAAATGGGGGCTGGGTGGTGGTGGTTCGCCCTCCCGCCTCCATAAAGTGTACGCCTTCTATTCTGCAGGCTGTGTTCTTGTTAGGTTTCCCCCCCGCCCCCCCGCACGCTCCCAGTATGCTTTGGAAAAATTGGTAATATTGCGCCCTACAAATCGGGTGGAGCCGGGGAATAGCGCTCCATTTTTTAAGTGGTTGTGAAAAATGAGTCCCTTATGGAGCAGAAATTCATGCCTTGTAATAATTGAACAGATATCTTGTGAACATTGCCCATTTCAGGCTGGCTCAGAGCTGCTGCGTACGTGCTACATGTTGTTGTGCAGTGCATCCTGCATGCAACGCTGAGCTTATGTGCCTCTGCAGGCGCATGCAGCTTGCCCATGCTACTTTAATAAAACCAGGTGTCGTATAATCTAATGTAGACATGCTTTGAGAGCTGTTTTACCAGCTGACAGGTGTAGTTTTTAGAAGCCTGGAATCCAGTGAGTGACACCAGGGAGGTGGGCCAGTGAAAACTGGCACCAGGTTGATAGGCAGTGTGCCAATTTCATCTTAAAGAACATTAAAGCTATTCTCTGGGATATGAATCCATGGATAAAGTTACGGTTTTTAACAGGTGCCTCTGCTACCTGTTCATGTAGGTCAGGTCCCATGAAAGAGCAAATTGTGTGTGCGTGCTGGGCCTGTCTTCACAAGAAAACAGAGAGGTGCTCCCAGTGAAGAACTTAAGGAGATTTTAATAGTTAGGAACAGCAGGTTGGAGCCTTGATCTTGAGTAAACCACACACTTATGCATACTGCAGCAAGTGTGTTTTGCTGACCTATGAGTAAATCTGCAAAGACACATCTGAAGGCACTTGGTTTTCAGAAGTCCGTCACCTCTGAAGAGAAAGGTTCCATTTAGCCATTGTGGGTAATACTAAAGAGAACTGTAAGTGGGCTGCTTACTCATGAGCAGGTCAAATCTGGGAACACTCTAAGGATGGGAAGATGTTGAAGAACGAAGGCCAGAACTCTTACCACACAGATGACTTACTCATGGATAAACAGCTTAGTTTGGGCTGAGGAGGCTGCAGTGAACGTACCTGCTTGCAGCTCTTCAGAAATTATTAGCTGGCTGAAAACAACTGTTTTGAGTATCCAAAGTCTCTCCATCCACAGATCACCTCATGAGTGAAATGCCCTGGGCGTCTTACTGATAACTAAATTGGTTTGTAGATCTGGTCTCTACTCATATACTACTGGGAACGATGCTTCTCTTTGAGGAGGACCTAGTTTTCCTGCAATCAGTCCATGAGGAATCTTTGGCAACTTTCACTGGCTTCTCTCTTGGGAAAGTTCTTGGTGCACATGTGTCCGTTTCACCATACCAGCTGCTGCCAGCGATCTTGATCTTGGATCTAGTTCACAGGAATGGATGTAGTCAATAGTAGATATTACTCATGGGCTATTAATTCAGGAGAGCCTAAAATACTTGGGCATAAATAGATATATGGAGTGACTGCAATAGGATAGAGCTAGGAAGATCTGGCCATTTGAATATGAGTTTCTGCTTGGGAAATACCTAGAGGTATCTAGATGCACAAGTGAGTGTGCCTTCATATATATGTGAAGACGTTTAGTCTGATGAATTCATGTGAGCACATTTGTACCTTGATAACTTATGTGGTTGAAAGTGTACAAATGTGAAGTACAGGTTGCTTGGGCATGTGTAGAGTTCCTTCTAGTCTGAAGCCCTGCCCTGTGCCACAGGTCCATCTCCTATCTCGGGCAACGATCCTGAACCTATAAAAATCTTATTAGCCACCATCACTTTGGATAGTATAGTATTCCCAAGGCATCTGTTTAATCCTCTTGCAAAAAGAGACAAGACCTCGAGGTTGGCAACTCTTTTGGAGCAGGAGGCCACAATTTCTGTAGTCAACTTTTAATTAGCATACAGTTTGCACACCATTCAAAGGAGGAAGTATTTGGAGCCCCTGTGATGGGAATGGGAGCTTGCAAAAGAAATTTCTCATTCACACTTTCCACAACAGACAGTCATGGTGGAACACACAAGCCCAGCAAGTAGTCACAGTTGTGTCCCTCACAGATAAACCCCAGTTTGTCAGTAAATATTTTAGTCATTGTACATGGCGTCCTATACATAAAGACTTTAGCATAAAAGTTGGAGACAATTAGGGTGTCAACACAGAGTGGATGTGGGGATTAGTTAGTCCCATATGATACCATCTAATGTTGTGTGTGTGTGTGTCATTTTGCTACTTTCAAGCAGGAAATCTCGGAGGGAAAAATCAGCCCACTGTGCTTGGAAAGTTGCTTGAAAAGATTCAGGCAACTTGATAACCATGGATGAGTACACGGTCCAGTCAGTGCTTGGAGAAGGATCATTTGGGAGAGTTCTTTTGGTCCACCATAAGAACACAAGCCAGAAATATGCAGTGAAGGAAATAAGACTTCCCAAGGTAATTATTTATTAACCTAATGCCGTGCAAACCTATGAGATGATATGAAATTTCTCCTCAGCCAGTGCTGAGAGTGAGACTTGTACAGCAAACCATCACAAGGGAAATCTAATTGGGTGTTTCCTCCGAGCCAACTAATGTGCTGTCCCTTCGTTATCAAAATTCTTTACATCCCAGAGGAAGCAGGGCAGGGGAGAACTAACAGTCTAGTGACAAAACTGTATTTAACATATGACAAAAGCTGCAGTCCTATGTACACTTACTTGCAAGTAAGTCCCATTGCAATAGCTGATACTTGCTTCTGAGTAAACATGGATAGGATTGACCTTCCAAGTCTCAGTGAAAGCAGTGAGACTTGACTTGATCTATGACATTTCCTTTAATATTCCAATTGAACTTCCTGAATGAGTTACCAAAATGGACAATTTAGTTTTAGTGAAATTAATAGTTAATAATTCAGTGCCACATTGCTCTTTAAATTTTAACAGGGCATAATTCAAGCCAATCCTTGTCTGGGATAAAAGAACAACACTGTCAGCATGCATTAAAATTGGAACCTTTCTACTACCTGAGAATGAGGGAGCATGAGTGTCGATTGAATGAAGGCATGTAATTAAAGAATTAACATAGATATTAAATAAAAAAGGAGCCAAAAGGCAGCCTTGTCTGACTCCTTTTTGCACTGGAATTCTTTTCGAAAGTTTTCCATCTTGTGAGAATCTTATCTGAATGTTGTTATTTTTGTGCAATTTAATTAGTAGAAGCAATAGCCTTCGATCGATACCCATGTCAGCCAATTTAGCCCAAAGCCTCACCCCCCTATTATTTTACTGGCTTTTGCTGTAATAAATTACTGCTGCAGTGAGACTTAAATGAGTTGCAACTTGCAACTACTTTATGCCATTGGATTCAGTAGGACTTAGACCTGGTCTAGGCATGCACTCGAATGAGGTGGTAATGAAGTGGCAGAGTGCTGTTGGCAGAATGGATTGCACTACCTCATACTGTGGGTGAGGGATTGCATGGTTCAAAGTACGCCAATAAATCTTTGTAAGTGGCAAACTAGGACGATCTGGCCCTTTGAATCTGAGTTTCTGCTTGGAAAATACCTAGAGGTATCTGGATGCACAAGAGCATCCAGCATGCAAAGAGCTAGCCTGGAACCTCTCTCCCTGGTGTGCTAACTTTTAGTTGTGCAGAGTGTTTACATGGGCAACCAGTAATGAGGTGAGTTTTCCCACCTGTAGTCTAAAATCATAGAATCATAGAGTAGGAAGGGGCCATACAGACCATCTAGTCCAATCTCTTGCCCGATGCAGGACCAGCATGGGACAACCAATTCTACCACATTGAAATTCTACCACCCCATTCTACTTTATTCTACTTCATGTTCAGGCCAGGACTTATTTTATTTGTGTGCTTGTTTATTGGATTTATAGCCCTCCCTCCCTCCCTTGTTAATAGCAGTTAATAACAATATTCATAAAACAAAACCTATAAAATTAAGCTATTAAAACAATTGTCACCACATTACTAATAGCTATTACTACATTACTAATTACTAATAGTTTATAATTTTAGCTGGATTGGGGACATAATCTATCTAATCATCTGTATCTATTTGTCATATATTGTTTATTGACTTCATTTATACCCCGCCTTTCTCCCCAGTGGGGAGGGGACCCAAAATGTGTCTTACATTGTTCTCTTCTCCCTTTTATCCGTACAGCCAGCCACCTTGCGAGGTTTGTTCAGCTGAGAGTGTGTGATTGGCCCAAGGTCATTCAGCAGGCTTCCATGGCAGAGTGGGGGGATTTGAAGCTGGGATTTCCCAGATCCTACTTTGACACACTAGCCACTACACCACAGTGGCACTCATAAGCAGTGTTCCCTCTAAGCTGAGTTAGTGTGAGCTAGCTCACAGTTTTTTAGCCTCTGGCTCACACATTTTTGTCTCAGCTCAGGAAGGGTGGCTCCAGAGCAAACTTATTTATGCAGTAGCCAAATTGCTGTCTCACAACTTTCATGCCAGTAGCTCACAAAGTAGAACTTTTGCTCACAAGACTCCAATGCTTAGAGGGAGTGCGTCATGACAAGCCACCTTAGAAACATACATTGAGAGAAGGGATATCATTTAAAAAAAAAATAAATGTATAAGAAAGATTTTTCTCCAAAGATCAGCAAAGATAGTTCCATTTTGGAAGGCCATTGAGTAGCTGAGAATGAAGCGTGTTTGTGTTTCGGTTTTTCAACTTGTTTGCTCTCTTGACTAGCATATACTTTTAAATTGTGTTATCAACTTTTTATTTTTTTAATTGTTTCTATTATTACTAATTGGTTCAATGCTTCATGCTGTCTAATAAGTATATTCTAATATTCTGTAGTATATTTAAAGGTTTATTAATGCAGAAGTGATACTGTTTTTCTGACTAGCAATGTGTTTTCAGTCAAATACACAGAAATCTTGGAATGAATCTGTTCTGTTGGCTAAAATGAAACACCCAAATATTGTCACTTACAAGGAATCGTTTGAAGGTAAACATTCACATTTTAAAAATGTTTATTTACACTATTGCACTTGTAGAAATTGGACTTCTTTTGTATCTCTGTCCTAGTCTGGTACACTATTGATGCTGTAGGAATAAAATAATTGTAATACATTTTGTACACCAATACCACTAGTAATGTATCTTGAATTCCCTGAAATTAGTTGATGGACACTTGTATATAGTGATGGAATACTGTGACGATGGAGATCTCCTGCAAAAGATTAAGCGTCAGAAGGGAAAACTGTTTCCAGAAGATATGGTAAGAACAGAGTACTAGCTCTAACTGAGAATCTTTAAGGTCAAAACGGGTCAAAACCACTCCTCTCCTCTGGATCTTTAAGGATCCAACCTCGTGGTAATATGTGCCTGCTCACATAGTTCAGTGGACAGTTTCATACAAAGCAGAGCAGTGTTCTCAACACTGCTGGAGTGGGGTGGGTTCAAGTTGTTGTTGTTCCCCACATTGAAACTGGAAGCACATTTTACTCTTGCATGCAAAGTGACAGAGTTGCATATTTTCTTGGTCAGTTCCCAGGACAGTAAAGGCAGGCATTCTACTTACAGTTGCAAGATGCTCCACTTAATATTTGTTTGTTTGTTTGTTTTATTTAGAACATTTTATGTTGCCTTTCCACCTAACTTGTGGTCCCTGAGGCAGCAAACAATGGAAAAACCATTAAAACAATCTTTTAAAAGCATGTAACATAATTTTAAAAATTTAAATACACATACACATGACCAAGTAACATAATTTTAAAAATTTAAATACACATACACATGATCAAGAAGGAGGGTTAGTGAGGATGGAAAATGAAACAGAAAAGACTTCACCAGCTGGTGTGTCACAGTTCAGGTGGGGTGTCACCTGACGCTGCCACCACTCTGGATTTAGGATCCCTTGAGAAGGCCCAGAGCACCCTCCCAAGACCTTCAGATCTCCCTTTTGGCTGAATAATAGGCGTGAGGACCAGGCAGAGTGAACAATGAAAATAGTTTATTTTATAGGAGGTCAAACAAACAAGGTGCAGAATAATAACAGTAAGTGGGTGAAAAGAAAAGAAATCAAATGCCCTAACGCGTCTAAATATATACTGTCCCTAGCTCACTATCTCAAGTGGGCCTCAGTCTGCTCACCCTTCCTTTCAGGATGAAGGTCTCTTCCCTGCAGCAGCCTTCCTTCTGGCTCTGCCCTCTTGGAAGAAGAACAGCTTTTCCTCTTGTACCAGTTATTTTATTCCTCAGCCCTCTTCTTCCCTATTGATCAAAATTGGCACCAAAACTTCCCAAGGCCTTCTGAGGTTTGTTGGCCCAGCCTCCCCTACTGCTAGCCAGGTTCCCTGGGTCTAGTAGGCCTCTGGTGGCACAGCCCAGATCATGACATGGTGGAAGACAGTGAACAAGGGAGACAGTCTTCCTGAGGAGGAAATTCCATAATTTTGGTGCCACAACCAAGAAAGCCCTTTCTTGAGTTGCCACCCACCTAGCTTCAGAAGGTGAAGCTGCCCAAAGAAGAGCCCCCTGAAGACTGCCTTCTGGCATCTTAGCCTGCCCTTTGTCCAGTCAGTAAAAGTTAAGGGATGGGACTGTGCTTTTTAAATAATGGTGGTGCTTCTGGAACCCATCTGCACTGATAGCATGAGCTGCATTGTGGCATGCATGCTTGGGCCTTGGGATTATCCACTGACCAGACAGGGTGGGTTAAATCAGTGCTGCATGGGCATTCTACGTACTGGTTTAAGTTTTCAAGAGGTTGGTCATCACTGATCTATACCATACTTGCATGCATGGTATGAGAATAGAATATGTATTTTTTCAAAATACAAGTCCTGACAGTTGTAGAACATTCAGGGAACCACAAACAAATCTGTTAATCGTTTTTCAGTATTGAAAGATAATAAGCAATCATACAGGTGTTCTGACTTCACAATTGGTTACCTGGTACTGATTGAAATGTGTAGTCATTGTTAGGGTATTTGTTCTCTTTTTTTCCTTTATGGTTTCCCCTCTTTTTATCAATGTAGCATAAATCTATTCACCTTGTCTTTTTCTTCCCCAGATACTGAATTGGTTTGCCCAGATATGCCTGGGAGTGAAGTATATTCATGATAGGCGTGTATTGCACAGAGACATCAAATCCAAGGTGACTAAAATCGCCTGATCGTTGTAACTGCTATCCTTTCCCTCCTACTTAGAGAAAGAAATACATCATAAGTATTATCCTTCAAAACTTGCCTAATGCTGCTGATCTCAGGAGAGCCCACAATTCAATGGGTGTCTTGTGTTTGAGATTTTGTGGGCTGGGTTAAATGATACCAGCTCGGGGTTCATGCTATTGCTGAATATTGATTAGTGCCTTAGTACCAATATGCATTCTCATGCATGCATACATTTTTTCATATCTCAATTTTCTTCCCAATGAGGACCTGGAGCGCTTTAGAATATTGTTCTCCCTGCGTTCATTTTCTCACAACCACCACCATGTGAGGTAATTTAGGCTGGGAGAATGTGACTGGCCCAACATCACATGGACACATGAAGCTGTCTCGTACTGAGTCAGGCCTATCAGTCCATCAAAGTCAGTGTCATCTTATTCAGACTGGCAGCTGCTCTCTAGGGTCTCAGGTGTTGGCAGACTTTCAGTATGCAACGGAAGTGGACCACTGATAAATAAGTAGTTTAAGAACAAACTGTTATAGAAGAGAGAGAGCCTTAACTGTCTAACCTAACTGCTGTGAGAGGAACAACAAGCAACAGGAAGCTCTGCAGGAGCAGGAAGTCTCCAGAAGAGCCAATCAGGAGACAGCAAGGGCACAGTTTGAAAAAGTGGGAAGTCCCTGGTTTAGCTATGCTAACTACAAGTCCTTCAACTGTCCCCCTGTAGGATGATCTTCAGATCTTCTTCATAAGGCTGCACTATAGACCTTGCATATTCCAACATCAGGCACATAAACGTCACATGACCTGCTCCCTGATTGTTTTAACTGAAGACCCTGGAGGTTGAACCTGGGACCGTCTGCATGACAAGCAGATGCTCTACCACTGAGCTGCAGTCATCCAGCAAACTTCCATGGCAGAAGTAGGGATTTGAACTCAGGTCTCCCAGGATCCTAGTCTGACATTCTATTGGCTACACCATTCCAGCTAGGACAGTGTTGCTGAGTGACACCATGACTGGTGGATAACAGCAAAGTTGCCCAAGTCTCTGAGGGAGTAGCTGTCATTGTAGCTATTTTATCTCAGGGGTTTTTCTGGTGCTTTTGACTTTGCATCTTAAGGAGCATTAGATCCCAACTAATCTTACGCCAGCGTAATCTCCAAAGTACTGACAGCCAGTTTATCTAGCCTATGGGACAGTGTTGCCTACCAGTAAAACAAAATTTAATTAAGTGGTGATTTACTCAATGAGGACATTAACATGGGGAGTGATAGGGTTTGATACTGCTCTGTGCGTTCATATGTACAATCTCGCCTTCCTATTTTGTAATACAGAATGTACTTCTCACACAAAATGGAAAGGTAAAACTGGGAGATTTTGGATCTGCGCTTCTTCTTACCAGGTATGTAAATTTGGATTGGAGGCTCTGTGCTGAAGAAGTGTGCGTGCGCACGAAAGCCTATGCCCTGAGTGAAACTTTGTTGGTCTTAAAAGGTGCCACCGGACTCAGAATTTGTTCTGATACTTTATAAAACTACTTGCCAGCTGATATAGAAATGTTAGCTATCGTTTGCTCACATTCTTCCTGCTTGTTTTTTGGAACAGCCCAAAGGCATATGCTTGTTCCTATGTGGGAACCCCTTATTACGTGCCTCCAGAAATATGGGAGAACACCCCTTACAACAATAAAAGGTAAGGAGTTCATCAGAGTAAGAGAAAGTTCTCCTTAGTATAGTGCAGCATTCGCAAGTCAGCCTGTGAATATATTCTGGGTAGAATGACTCAATATACTGGCTTTATTTTGAAACCAAGATTGATTTCTGCAGAATCTGGAACTTGTGACAGAGAGTAGCTTGGGACCAGATGGAAAAACCTAAGCAAATTAAAGCCTATATGAACATGTGACCAGGGGAAGTCCATCCCAAACAAGTACTGGAGGTTTATGTGGGCAGTTGGTCCAATCCAGTAAAACCAAAATGAACAAGGAAAACTGCATTCCATGTTCTGGATCAGCTGGAAGGTGTGACTTCCTTGCCTTCCCCCTCTTCCTGCAGTGCAAAAAGGCCCCCCCCCCGGGGGGAAGTCAGGGGCCCAGTGGAATTGGAGATCTGCTGTGGGAAGGAGGAATAAATGGAAATTGCACCCCTCTTGCAAGCATGGAAGTTCTCTGCTGAGGCAACAGTGGAAAGCTGATGGGCCAAGGGCTTTGCTGGAAGTCTAATAATGCATGTGTAATCATATGCCTTGCCCATAAGGCAAGCCTGCTTTGTGCAGTTGACTAGTGAGATTTTAACAGATGGGATAAAGAGAGTGGTAAGGATTGTGTCTACCTTCCCCCCAGTTTCCAATATAGTGCTGTATATTGCACTCTGCACAGGTTACAATGTTTAATGCTAGCCTCCATAGCTGAGTTGAGGCAGCTCGATTTGGGACAGAATTTCCCCACATTACAGTAAATAAGTAACTTGTAAAATATCTAGGATGCCGGCTGTCCACCCTAAATTGTTATATGAAGGGCGTGCAACTTACCCAGCTGTTTTAGTTTTCTGGTACTATGCTATACTTTCAAATATCTGTATGTAAACCTTTACTTTGTGGCTTGTTTTTATTGCCACCCATTTATCTCTGTGCACTCACAAAGTATTTCAGTGGTGGTAAATGTGATATTAAACTACAGCCTTAAATAATGGGCCTTTCAAACCTGTCTTTCCAGTGATATATGGTCTCTGGGATGCATTTTATATGAGCTGTGCACACTTAAGCATCCGGTAAGTGGTCTGTTGTATTTATATTACTTTCAGGAACTGATTCAGGATGAGATTTTATGTTACATTTCATACTGGGAGACCTATATTAGTCTCCTGATGCTCACATCAAAATGTAAAAAAACTACAGCCTTTTCCATTAATTACTCTGCATACATTAGCATAAAGCTTTACAGAAATAGTACTGTGGACATGGATCTTACTTAGTCTTTGCAAATAAATTAATGGCCTATGTATTTATTCATATATTTATATCCTACATTTCTCCCTAATGGGAACCCAAAAGCAACGTACAATGTTGTCTTCCTCTCCTCCATTTTATCCTTACAGGAACAACTTCGTAAGGTAAATGAGGCTAAGAGAGTGTGACTGATCCAAGGTCACCCAGTGGCTGTGCATGGCACAGTGGGGATTTGAACTCAGGTCTGTCAGATCCTAGACTAAACCATGCTGGCTGATGTCACTATTAGTGCAACTGATTTTGGCAAGCTCACCCAGCTTTTCGCCCAAGTAGGGACCCAAAGCATTTTACAAAGTTACCCCAGTGTAATATAAACTGGCAAGTATAGTTTAAACGAAAACACACAGAAAATCTTCTCAAGATAGAGACACTGTGTTCTCCAGCTGGTCAAAGCAGATGATGATGATGAGATCTCAGGAGACTCTGTCTTGTGTAGGCTGCCAGTAGGCCTGGAGAAAAGTGTCCTGTCCCTTTAACAGAGGCCCAGTGTGTGGAAATGTGCAGCTGAAGTTTTTTGTGGCATGGAACGTCACCTGGTAACTCTCCACTGAGTCACACCCTTCTGTTGAGTGCAGTGGACTCAGAAGGGTTTAAATCAGTTGAGTACTGCACTGTTGTCAACAGGGTAAGGATTATATATAATATGCATGCAAGTAAAGACTTTCAGGATACAGGAGCTGATGTATTCATTTGGACAGAGGGGACATTTTCTCCATACTGGGCCTGTGATAACGTTAGTAAAGTGTGCCATCGAGTCGCAACCAACTCGTGGCCACCCCATTAACCTCATGGGGTTTTCAAGGCAAGAGATGGGCAGAGGTGCTTTGCTATTGTCTTATTCTGCACAGCAGCCCAGGTCTCCCATCCAAGTACTAACTTTGCTTAGCTTCCGAGTTCTGATGAGACCAGGCTAGTCTGAACCCCGTAGGCGCGTGCCTCTTCATTTCCTCCCTATGGCAATTGCCGTTGTACGGCAGGCAGCTAGCTGAGGGGGAGAGAGTTCAATTTCCAGCCACTGTTAGCATTTTAAAGAAAGCAAAAAACAGTATTGCAAGTTGCAGTAGACAAAGTAAGATATTCTCGAAGACTTCTAGACTATTTCAGTAATGTAGCATGTCATTAACAGTCATTTATACCAAAGCTATAGTAATCTCTTTTTATACAATCTTAGATTTTTGAAGCACTTTTATAAATACTCTTCTTATTAAGCTATTTGCTTCTTTCCAATGTTTGTTCAATGTAGTTTCAGGCCAATAGCTGGAAACATCTCATTCATAAGATATGTAATGGATACTACAGCCCGCTTCCATCCCACTATACCTACGAACTTCACTATTTGATAAAACAAATGTTCAAGAAGAATCCCAGGAACCGCCCATCTGCTAGTACAATCCTTAACAAAAACTGCTTGGCAAAGCTCATCAGAAATCTTGATTCAGCAGAGGTAATGGTATGCTTTTGTCTCTGGAAAACCGAACATACTCCCCCCCGCCCCCCAAATGGACGGACTATATTTTGCCATGGTATATAAACCTAAGTATGGTGGTTTCAGGGGTATTATTATTATTAGTAGTAGTATTATGAATTGTCACAGTCAGATATTTGACTGGTAGATGGGGTTCTGCAATTCAAGACCTAGACAAGTTCTTGGAAATTGCAGAGGTATCTTCATAGGATTCTTGCTGTTCCAAGCAACACTGTCATCTGGAGCTGAGCTGGTGTTAGTTGCTCAACGTCCAGAATGTCCAGGTATTTATTGAGACTTCTAGGCACTGCTCCAAGGGCTCTAGTGACAACTGGCCCAGTGGTAACCTTCTTCTTCAAGCACTTCAGTGTATAGAGGAAGACTTTGACCTCACTGTTGCATAATGGAACTTTTATTGGTAGAGGAAGGAGCAGTGATTTCTATCAAATTCTCCCTCCCATTTTTGCCGCACACTGTTCTTAACACTCTTTTGACGCCCCCCAACGGTGACATTTTGGGAAGATAAGTGAACTGTGGTACTGTATATGTTACAGAGAATGTCCAAAATGCAAAAAACTACAGAATGTTAACAGTGTCCAGAATGAAGGATGTAGAAGAGAAAATGTATGGACAGTCAAAAACCATGAGGAAACTTTGATACTGTCCAGCATTGGTCCAGTGAATAACCTTCATTATGGAGCTACAGTAATGAATATTAGCAATGACTATTGAGAGATCCCTCATGGCTTTAAATGTAACTACATTCCTTTACAAATAGTCTTTGCATTTCTTTTTACATGTGCCTTGGCAAGTTTAGTAAATAAATTTGTGTTTACTAGTCATAACATAGCAGAACAAACGTAATGATTGTTGGATTTTAGACTTATTTGATTTATATCCCGCCCTCCCTGCCAAAGCAGGCTCAGGGCAGCTTACAAAAGATAAACATAAGAACAATTATGACATAAATAAAACCATCTAAAAGCAGTCCAAAACATAAAGTGCTAGCTGGTTGTAAACTAATACATTACGGATGGCGGCAACAGTTAAGTTAATATGGTCTTAATATAGTTCTTAAATCTTTTCAAGGAAGGAAAGCATGCAAGATTGAAAACTGGCTGTTCAGAACCGGAGCTCATTTCCAAGGGATTCAGTGAAATGGGATTGGGAAAAACAGGTATAGATATAGTAAGTTAATGTATGTGGAATTCTAAAGGCCTGGACTCATTCTTTAACTTGTGGTCAGATTACACCGGTGTCCCCCAACCTTTTTGAGCCTGTGGGCTGGGCACATTTGGAATCCCGACACAAGATGGTGGCATAACCACAAAATGGCTGACACAGGAGGCGCAGCCAACCACAAAATGTGTCACGGGCTGGGGTGCCAGTCCAAGGGAGTCCAGAACAGGCCAAGGTCAGGAGCCAAGAAGACTGCAAAGTCCAAAGCCAAGCCGGGGCCAGGAGCCAGAAACACAGAGCCAAGTCCAAAATCACTAACTAGAAGTGTAGTCCAAAGCCAAGCCGGGGTCAGGAGCCAGGAACACAGAGCCAAGTCCAAAGCCAGGGGGTCCGAAGGTCTAGGTGCAAGAGCCAAGCCGAAGTGGATGCAAGCAGCACGAAGCTGACTCATTGCTTCCATGAAGAGTACTGCCCAGAGTGTGGAGTTAAATGCTGCTACCAATTAGCCAGCTGCACGATCGCCCAGGCTCCTATTAGAACTCTGGGCTAGCTGAGCGTCTCCCCTGTAGCCTGGCCTCTCTTCGCCTGGTTGCTAAGTTTTGCCGCAGTTGCTCCCTTAAACGAGTCACACGTGAGGGTGACTCAGGAGGACTTTCAGTTTGCAGTTCTTCCTTCTTATCTGGGCCAGATGTGAAGACTGCTGTTACAGGCACTTGCCAGCTATCCTCCTCTGCTGCTTCAGAGGGGCCAGCTGTGGTTTCTGCAGGCTGTCAGCTCATCCTCATCCACGCTCATGACAGGGAGCAAGGTTACGCATAGCTCTGGTAGTAACTCTAAAACAATTCAGGCATAAACTCTGTGTAACAGGATGCCTTTTAATCTGCACAGCCAATCAGATGACCTGTGGGCAAAGGCCCCATTTGGCCCACCCACTTACTAAAAATACCTTGGTGTGTACAAGGAAAGGTGGTGGTGGGCGTGATGCTGGGAACCCCTGGATTACACATTAATATCAGAACTGATTGAAGAAAAATTGCATAAACCATTTCATTAGGAATTAAGGAGATTACAAAAGTAAGCTTACCTGCTACCCCAAAACTATTTCTTTTAGAAAAATGGCTACAAATTGTAGCTGGAAGTAAAAACAAAGAATTACTAACAATTATAATTCCAATTGCACGATTGCTTACAGCTTCCAAATGGGTAGATAAAACCCCCCTACAATTACACAATGGTATAATCATATATGGGAACACTTTATAATGCAAAAATTGTCATTTAATTTATCAGACTCATCACAGAAAACTATAACAAAAAAATTATTGCTGTTTGGTACCCTGTTAGAAGGTTTTTTTTGTTAGAGAAGGAGATTATTCCAAGTAACCCACAATATCAAAAGATGATTTACTTTTGAATTCCTTTTAAGTATATTACTGATTTTAAAATGTTGGTATATGATTGTATTGTTATATATCTTATGTTATATGTTGTAAAATAAAAAAATGGTAATTAAAAAAAAACACCATTTCATTAGGGAAGTGTGAAATCCCCTCAGAGGCTGCTTTACCAAGACCCCACAGACGACAGTGGGGAAAGGGAAGAGCCAGTACCCTGGTCAACGCCCTGGACAAGGCACCTCTACTTTCTTCCAGTGTTACAACCAAAGAGGATGAAAGTAAGATAAGATTTTGTATCTTTATGGGGTTATATATCATTTGAAATTGTTGTGGCTTTCACTCCAAATTAGAGTATATAAAATGCAAAAATATACCCAGTAATTTAGTGACTTAGTTGGAGAGTCCATTGTAAGATCCATCAAGATGCCAGGTTAAAAAAAAATGGTAAGGCTGTAAGTTAGGCAGACATTGACAGTACAGATTCACCAGCAGGCATGTTGCTTCAGTGAACACAACCATGGTCATTATTCTTAACTCAGTTCTTTTTGAACTACAAGATGAGTGATTTCTGCTCTCAGTGGGCACACATGGTATGCAGTTCCCTGAGAAATACTTGGGGGGGGGGATTTAAACCCTGGAAACTAGGGGGATCTTCAATTCTTCTTCTGTATAGGGGATCAGATAATAAAAATATGATTTTTTTAAAAGTATGCTTTGAAAAATCCAGGGTGAAGTCAGCTGATTAGAAAGGTAAAGGTAAAGGTTCCCTTGCTCGAAAGCCAGTCGAATCCGACTCTAGGGTTGCGGTGCTCATCTCCGTTTCAAAGCCGAAGAGCCAGCGCTGTCCGAAGACGTTTTCGTGGTCATGTGGCCGGCGTGACTAAACACCAAGGTGCACGGAACGCTGTTACCTTCCCACTGAAGTGGTACCTATTTATCTACTTGCAATTTCTTGCTTTCGAACTGCTAGGTTGGCAGGAGTTGGAACTAGAGATGGGAGCTCACTCCATCCTGCTGCACCCGGGTCTCGAACTGCTGAACTACTGACCTTCCACAGGCTGCAGTTCAGCGACTTAACCACTTGAGCCACCGCAGCTCCAGAAGTATATACTGCCATCTAAAAGGAGCCTCCATAAGACCATTAAATCCACAGTCTAATTGCTCCTGACTAGGGGTCTGGCAGGGAGCTTCCGGATGGGTTTGGTCTTTCTGGGTTTTCAGAAGGGTTATGAAGAGGCTTGGGGAAACCCTGACCAATCCCAGGTAAAGAGTAGAGTAGCAGGGTGCCCATTTGTAATAATTTCACAATATTAAACCATTAGAAATGGAAACAGGGACAAACTAGGGGAACAAGCATTTCAGACTTCTAGCACATTCCATTTCCTACCTCTGTGTGCTGTGGTACCTTAGAAATTAAGTGGATTATTTTGACATAACTTAATGAGCAACAGTCAGATTTACATGAAGTGGAATTAAAAAGTAATAGATATCCTCCATATACATAACACATTGGAATACAGAATACCATGACTATTTTCTTTTAACTAGTTTTGCCTTTACAGTGAATTCATGTGGGTAAATCTTTTAATGTTTATTGTTCTTTTAAGTAGGTGGTCAGGTGAGAAAATATGGTGAAAATGTCACACGTAAGCAGTGGACCAAGGAACCTCCTGAAACTGTATTGCATATTCTCCACAACGCTGATGTCAGTTTAGCTTTTAAAACATATACCATCTACAAAGCAGGTAAATCATGTTGCATCGGTGGTCTGCAACTCAAGATATATGATAGGCAGGGCATATAAAAGCCCTGAACTAGAGACCCATGTGCATGCTGCTGTGTGTGGGAAACTGAACACTTGCCAAACAGCCGATTGGTTCCGTCAGGCCTCCTCTTCCTCCTTTAAAACCAGATCCAGCAAATAAATTTGCATGCAGCTGAAGTTGGTTATTTTATAAAGTTTTGGCAGAGCCAATTCAGTTTCAGTTTGATAAGTGTTGCGTAATGATGTCATATTTATATGTTGAGGCCTGTAAGGACACAGTTTTGTCTCTCATAGCTGTTCAGAGCTCAGGTGGACAGTTATAGTGGGGTCGGGTGGGGGAATCCACCAGAAGACCAAAATCACATTCTTCATAAAGTATCAAGAGTGTTGTTCCCATGTGGGTCCTATATAAACAGTTTGCTTACTATAAGTTTAGAATCTGTTAGAGCAGAGGGAAAGGGAAAAGCAGTCATTTTTTTCATGGGAAACAGTTGAATGCTGACAGAGATACTATCTTGGGATGGGATAGTATTGCTGATCGTGGAGAGGGAGGGTTGGCGCAGCCATTTCCTCTGCGGTCACCCCTGCAGATGACCAGGTGATTCCACGGAGGCAGGGGGAGAGGCCGGCAAGCTCACTCCTGTTCTTCTTCCCCGCACATTCACTGAATGTGTGGGGCTGTTGTGTGCACCAGTCCGGCTAATGTCTTCCAGAGTAGAAGCCTCGTAGCTAGTAACATTGTGTCCGGCAATCTCATCCCAGTTCTTTTCCACTTTTGTCTGCCAGTGTCCCAATGATAATCAGGCATTTCCCCTACATTTTTACCTTTTCTCTTACGCTGTGATATTTTAGTTATTTTTTTTACTAAATACTGAGTTTGCATACTTACGTGTACTCATACCCCCAATTAAATTTGGAAATTCTTCTTCTTTTAAAGAAGGTGAAACCTTTCAATGCTGTATGGTCACATTTCTTTGGTCTCACTAGCTCAACAAAGACACCAGGTTTCCTGATCTCCAAACCACGGTTTTAAGTAAACTTGCAGTCCATGGTTGGACATTAGCCAGCTGTACTTTCTTCCAATTTTGGACATAGGCAGTCATAGAGAGATGGGAAATCTATGTGTGGAAGGGAAGAGAGCATCGCACACTGGCAATCTCCGGGGCATTATTGGAGTTCAGGAAACATGATGTCTAATTTAAGGCATGGTAACTTCAGATTCAAACAGGTTTTACACTTTTTTTTCAAACCACAAAAACCTTGCAGCACCTGTTTGCTAAAGACTAAAGTTGGATGAGTGTATATACTATGCAAATAGATACTTTCCCACAGGGGTCATTTCATAGAAAAAGAGCTAGGGGAACTCATTAGCATAACTCATTAGCATATGCCACACCCCCTGACATAACTGGAAGTGTGTCATAAGGCCACACCCCCTGACATCACCGGAAGTGTGTCATAAGGCCACACACACCACCCCCAATGGTCCTGGCCGCCGCTGCCGGCCTTGCAACTCCACTGCCGAGGGGTCCGGCGGTGGACCTGCAAGGCCGGCGGGAGTGCAAGGAAGCCCCACCAAGGCCCTCCCTGGTCCCAGGCAGGCAGGGGTGGGGAGAGGCAGGGAGGAAGCAACTTACCCTCCCTCTTCTCCTGCCTCCTCCTAACTTAATGAGGGCTGGAAGCGGGGCAGCCGGAAGCGGGGGGCGGGGCGTCATCATGTGCCCCGCCCCCGTACCTCACCCAGGGGAACTGCGATCCCCGCGATTCCCCCCCGAAATGACCTCTGCTTTCCCACCACCACCTGCTCACTAACATATGTTTTTATCTTAATTATTAAATGTGTCCTTAACACAGATTAGAGATACGCTGAACACAGTAGGAGGTACAGAAGGAAGAGGAACTCTTGTCATGTAGTAGCCCATTATTAGGTTCTGCTTAAAGGGAACTAAGAGGGGGGGAAATCAGCTAGGTTCCAATGGTGCAAATTCACCATGAACAAAAAAAAAATTAATTTAAGGAAAGGGGACAGCAGGAGAGGTTTCCTGACTAAACAGAGGCATTTATCTCTTAATGAGATATATAAGATTTAGCATTTTAAAAACCCAGGAAGTAGTGAGTGAACAGTGATAGATCGAAGTATGTTTTTCTTATACCAAACATTGTACCTTAAGCATAGCTTAAGCACTGTTTGCTCTCAAATGAATTTACCCAACTGTTACAGTCATCCGTGAAGATGATGCTCTTGGTTCCCCCACCACCACCATCTAAAGCTAGAACTGTGGCAACCAGTGTTCCCTCTAAGCTGAGTTAGTGTGAGCTAGCTAACAGTTTTTTAGCCTCCGGCTCGCACATTTTTGTCTTAGCTCGGGAAGGATGGCTCCAGAGCAAACTAATTTATGCAGTAGGCAAATTGTTTGCTCACAATTTTAATGCCAGCATCTCACAAAGTGGAATCTTTGCTCACAAGACTCCACAGCTTAGAGGGAACATTGGTGGCAACCCGCGAAAGGGCCTTCTTGGTCATGGCACCTAAATTCTGGAATTCCCTCCTCCCTCCCCTTAAACACTGTCTCCTGCCAGACAGTGAAGACGTTCTCGTTGATTTTTTTTTCTTCCTGTTCGTACCCCTATGTTTGTTTTGGTTTTAGTAGTTTCATATGCCTTGTTTAATGTTACTTTTAAGTTTTTTATTGTTTGCCACCATGGGACCCTAAGTTGGGTGGAAAGGCAGCGTAAAAACCAGGGGTCGTTTCGTAGAAAAAGAGCTAGGGGAACTCATTAGCATAACTCATTAACATATGCCACACCCCCTGACATCAGGGGCCCGGCGGTGGACCTGCAAGGCCGGCGGGAGTGCGAGGAAGCCCCGCCAAGGCTCTCCCTGCCCCCAACTTACCCTCCCTCTTCTCCTGCCTCCTCCTGGCTGAATGAGGGCCGGAAGGGGGGGGGGAAGCAGGGGGGGCTTCGTCGTGTGCCCCGCCCCCCCACACCTCACCCAGGAGAACTGCGATCCCCCGCGATCCCCCCCGAATCGACCTCTGGTAAAAACACCGAATTGTTTACAGTGCAACCCTATGCAGAGTTACTCCAGTCTTAGCACACTTGAAATCATTGAGTTTTAGGCCAGAAGTCCGCAGGACTGCGCTCCTAAGTATTTGGGGATGGGGCAACTGACTGCTTTTATTTTGGTAATTTTAAAAGCCTCAGATGATCTGTTGAGAGGACCACTTGCTGAAGAAACCAAAGGATCTGATGAAACAGATGGTGAAATTATGATGGAGGATCCTGAGAGACTTGAATCAAGATCCGACGAGGAAGACACGTATGTTTCAGTCATTTTGAAAACGTTGTTCTAGGATTTTCTTTAGGTTTCAGTGATTGCTCCTAATCTCTATTTCTTTATAGAGAATCACCTACTATTAGTTTAATATTGTTTATTTCATGCTTATTTTGGCATTAAAATGCCAGTGTTTCGCCATTGGTGTTGGGGCTTCAAATGCCCTCTTTGAATGCCTTCCCTGTCCCCCCTTCTCTTGGGTACTACTTAGAGTACTCAGTTTCCAGGTGGTGACTGGAGAGCTTCCAGAATTACAACTAGTCTCCAAATTACAGAGCTCAGCTCTCTTGGAAGAATGTCTGCTTTGGAAGGTGGACTCTATGGCATTGCACCCCACTGAGCTTCCTCCCATCCCCAAACCTCACCTTCCCCAGACTCCACCCCCCAAATCTCCAGGTATTTTCCAACCCCAGAGATGGCAACCCTGGCACTATCTGAGAAGTCACTCAAACTTGGAGAATCTTTCCCCTCACCCTCCCCAGACTCCGCCCCCAACCTCACCCTCCCCAGCCTCCACCCCCAAATTTAATCTGTCTAATAAGTCACTCAAACTTGGAGAATCTTTAGGAGAACGCAAATTGTTGTTAGGTGGAAAAGATCTTTCTAGTAGCTTTCACATATGTAAAAGACTGTCCTCAGGAGAAGAAGAAACTCCCTTTCACAAGTGCTTGTTAGGGTGACTGTGACGGATTCCAAAAAGGGAACACCTAGAGAAGGGCGATGTGCAGACATAGGGCGATGTGGAGAGATGGAATGTTTGGGAGGTTGATGGGCAGAAAACAGACAGGGAGGCAGTTGGAGGACGGAGAGTGAGTGAGGAGGTTGTGAGCGGTTGGAGGCTAACAGCCATTGGGAACTGACACATTTTGGGAAGAATCCCAGGGAGCGGTTTAATTGTTGGAACATAGGGAACGTGTATCTGATTAAGGTTGTGCTGGAGGAAAATGTGAGATGTCACAGTAAAGCCGTTTTATTCTTATAAACAATGGAGTCCGGTCACTAATTTCCACCAGTTTTAAGAGCCTTGGAGTGAACCAAGAGAGTTTCATCACGAAGAACGAAACCAGTGGGTAAGTGGTCCCCGCTACTACCCGAAGCTAGCAGTGTCCCGCATGAGAGTGGTGTCCAAAAGGTGGTGGCCTGTAAGAGCCCGTGACAGTGACCTAACGCAAAGTGGGAAAACGTGTACACATTGAATTGAAGTAGATTTAGACTGAAATAAGAAAAATTATTTAGATTGTTTAAAGAAAATTGAACAGTAAATCAAATTAAACCATTTTTAAGAAAATGATTTATCCTATGTCTAATTCCTGGAAGTTCATTTGGGGAAATTAGAGGTCCTTCTATCTGTTTGGTTCTCTTTGTGTTTTTTTTTTAAAATTTGTAATAAAGTCTGACTTCACATAATCTTTTTGCAGGGACTTTGAAGCAGAAGATGATCCAGACTGGGTTTTTGAACTGAAAGGGATGATGAATATGGAATGATGGACAACAGAAAAGATGAATAGTGGAACTGAAGAAATTAGAACTTGAATAGTGGAACTGAAGAAATTAGAACTTGAATAGTGGAACTGAAGAAATTAGAACTATCAGTTAACTGTGATCCAAATCAAGATTTTAATACCCTGATGCTGACAAAACAGTTTGAAAGCCGGTTTATTATGCAAGCATTCTTTTGCATTTCTTTGGTCTTTAGGGAGGGGAATGTTAAAAATGATAATTTTCTTCTTGAATAAAGCTACTGAAAGTATGCACTTTTGATCTCAAGGTATTTGTAAGTTAATAAAAATATAGAAACAGATAGCAGTAACCTGGATGCAGAATTCAGGTGCTGTTAAGCATTGTAATAATTTAAATTCCTATTTATAAATTGCTGTAGTTTTTGCATTGGAAGTTGACGTGGCCACATTCTTTTTTCCATTCACACAAAATTCATTGTGGTATGATTAATTAATAGCATGTAAACTATAAGGTTACTACCAAATCCATCATAATGTGTATGTATTAATGTGTGTAAAAGTGGTAGGTCTACATTACTCTGGCTCATTTTAACCCAGCTTTTCCTTGTGGTTCAACCTGGCTGACAATAATAGTTCAAAAACTATTAAAATTAAAATTAAATTAAGTTAAAATTAAAACCAAAATAAAATAGCAAACTCCAACTCTCTCCCCGCCTTCCCCTTTCTTAAAAGAAGCCTGCCACTTAAACCTATTTTTGTATGGAACATTGTTCACAAAGCCTTCACACAGAATATGCTGAAGGGTCTCTGAGCTTCTGTATCATACATAAAGTAAATGTATTTAATTATTACATAGTTAAGAGCTAGAGCAGTGGAAAACAAATATTTTAATTGACTAAATGGGAGCTTTACTGAAGTGGCACTCAATCAAGGATCATTTCCAGCGGGTGTTAAGGGGTGTTAACCTGTTGAGTACAAATAAATGGGAGTTTTGCTGCATCTTAAAGACTAACAAGTTGCTTCCGCCTAAATACACACACATACACACAAAAGTGTTAGAATAAAAACTTGTCAGTGTTTAAGGGGCCACAGGGGTCTTTTCAATAAAGAGACCTAGCTTCAGTTGTGACTTATAAGGGGTTGTGTGTTCTTAAAGCATTTTTATTGGCCTGATCTACAGAAATTAGGCAGATGGAAGTGTGCCTGCCACTTTGATCTTCCTTAGGTAAAACTTCACCTCTTTCCTTCTGCCAGGTTACAGTCTTGAGGCACTATAAATATGGGCAAAATGTTGTTCCTGCACATGTTTTCATGGACTAGAGCCTGGTCCTTCATGTGAGTGGAGCCTCTGTGCAGTAAAATCTATGTAGGAGGTGTGGAACAATGAGATCAAGGGGCCATGAAATGTGGGACCAAATTGTGTAATTATGTAAAATTCACATTGCAAAGTAGAATTTTTGCTCACAAGACTCCATAGCTTTAGAGGGAGCGTTGGCTGTGTCCTGGTTCAGGTCCAAGGCCTGGTTCTTGTGACAGCTGCTCCGAAGTGAGGTTCCTCCATGACAATCACACAAGCAGACATATGGCCAGGCTGCACTGCAACACCCTCCCCCCTCCCGAAACTGTGGACCCCGCAAGGGACACATCCCCATGCTCTGGAGACTGTCCCCTGCAAGAAGACATACAGCACTGCCCGGTCCTAACACTGGTTCTGGTGCTACAGGTTTTTTTTGGGGGTGCATCCAAGAAGCCTGTATTTCCAAGTAGCTTGGAATAAGGAACCACTCCCAGTGAGATTCCAGCTGGACATAGGCAGACTTTAGGGTGAAGGTCATTCCCTTGCTGAATGAAGGTTAACAGTCCTCAGAGAAGCTTCAATTACAGATAACATACTGAGATTGCTGAATTTGAATTCATTCCCAAGTTCACAAGGATGGATCCATCAAATCTTGATGGATTCTTATCTCACCATAGATGCTAATATTCCACCCCCATATTTCAATCAAGCTCTCCAGAGCATGGTAATGTGTCATTTGGGGTGGTCCAAAGATTGTTTTGGGGTGCAGCCTGGCCCCATTTTCTGTCTGTGTGATTGTCCTGGGGACACCGCACTTTGGAGCAGCCAGCACAAGAACCACGCTTTGGACCTGAACCAGGACACACAGCATATTTCCCTTCGAAGGGGCAAGTCTGCTGAACATGGGGGTGTATGAAGTGTGGGGCCCCAAACCTTATTTTGGGTGCAGAGGGCACTTCCTTATTCAAATCACCTTTGAAATACAGACTTCTGGGAGACACTCCAAATAGAAGCTTGTGGTGCCAGAACCAGTGTTTGGACCAGGGATCACTGTATGCCATCTTGCAGGGAACAGTCTCCAGAGCACGGTGAAGTGTCACTTGGGGTGGTCCAAAGATTGTTTTGGGGCGCAGCCTGTCTCCAGTGTCTGCCTGTGTGTGTGCCCTGGGGCCCCTGCACTTTGGAGCAGCTGGCTCAAGAACCGCACTTTGAACCAGGACACAGCATATGTCCCCTTGAAGGGGAGAGTCTGCTGATCCTGATGCTATATGAGCTGTGGTGGTCCAATCCTTATTTTGGGGTGTAAGGGGCAACCAGTTCCTTATTAAAGTTTGGTGTCGTGGTTAAGTGTGCAGACTCTAATCTGGGAGAACCGGGTTTGATTCCGCACTCCTCCACTTGCACCTGGCTGGATGACCTTGGGCAAGCCATAGTTCTGATAAGAGCTGTCCTTGAAAAAGCAGTTTCTGTCAGAGCTCTCTCAGCCCCACCTACCTCATAGGGTGTCTGTTGTGTGGAGGGGAAGGGAAAGGAGTTTGTAAGCCGCTCTGAGGCTCCCTTGGGTAGTGAAGGGCGGGGTATAAATCCAATCTCTTACTATTATTATTAGTATTATTAAAATTTCCTTTGAAATAGAGGCCTCTTGGAGGCACTCCAAATAGAAACTTGTGGTGTCAGAACCAGTGTTTGGACCGGGTATCACTGTATGTCATCTTGCAGGGGACAGTCTCCAGAACCTGGTGATGTGTCATTTTGGCTTGGTCCAAACACTTGGGGGAGGAGGTTCCAGTCCTGTTCCAGTGTCTGCCCCTGTGATTGTCCTAGGGACACCCTACTTTGGAGCACCTGGCACAAGAACCATGCTTTGGACCAGGAAACAGGATATATCTTCTTGAAGGGGAGAGCCCCATAAACCTGGGAGTATACGATATGTGGTGGTCCAGACCTTATTTTGGGGTTCAGAGCTTTCAAACTATCCTCAGTGTTTTGGATGAACTCATGAATAAGAAATGATTAAGGAACTAGGAATAAGGAACCAACTTCAGCCTCCTCCTAGAACCGTGTTCCGCAGGGCCAGGAGAAGAAATATCCATCTTCCCTTCAAGCACCAGCTTTAATGCTGACTGATGCACTCAGGAGGACGTTTCTGAGGTTGAAAGACCTGGCCAGCCTTTGATCCTGGAGAGGGAGGAGCGCCAAGAAGGCACGCCCCCGCTGGTAACCGAGACCGGTACCGCCTTTTTCGCCCGACCCAGCCGAGTTTTCGGGGGCGGCGACCCGTTAACCGCCCTCCCCTCAGTCCCCACCTTCCCTGAGTCCCTTTCGCCCCACGCCGGGTGAGAGCAAGTTCTGTCGCGCCAGAGAGAAAAGCAGGAGGCCGCTGGCCGCAGAGCGAGGCAAGCGGTAAGGTGCGCGCGCGTCTGTGTTTCCATGGCAACGGAGAAGGGAGAGGCCGCGCTTCGGAACCAGGCCCCTTCCGCCTCCATGGGGGGGGGGGGGGGCCCAAAGGGGGAGCTGTGGCTGGGGGAGGGGGGGGGGGGGGGGGGGTGTGGCTGGGGAAGGGGGGGGGGAGATGAACGTCCCCAATCCGAGTGCTTCCAGAAGAGGGTCCAGCCAGGTTATGCCTCCTTTCCCCCACTGGAGTCGTTAATTTTCTGAGCGGGAAGCCCTTGTGAGGGGGTGCCTGTTCGCCTCGCCTGACTGGACAGGAAACAGCTTGTCCCCCTCAGGTGGTAGTGATGAGGGGATGTTAACTGTAATCTATATGAAATCCCCTCTTTTTGTGCTTTGCTCATGTGTCTCACCACACAGCTGAACCACTGTGCACTCCCAACCCCCAAGTCGTGGACACACACAGTCATTAAGATGTAAATAAACAGGAGTTGTGTGGAAACTTAAAATATTTGTTGTTGTTGTTGTTATTCCATATTATTATACTACTATAAGTTTTCACGAGGAAAAAATAATTTATTAATTAATAAGGAAGAATACAGATTCAAGGGTTTTGGAACCCTGAATACCCAACAGATTCTTCAAGTGTTACAATGGGTGAAATAGCATGTTATACTTCACATTACATCAGAGAAATAAAACAGAATTATTGGTTCCATCAAACATTGTCAAATTTCATCACCTATTTCCCTTTGGGTTAAGACCTGGGGGGGGGACATGTTGTATCTATATAACTGATATGGTTACAGAGTGCTTACTGTTCTTCATTCTAGCTAGGTTAACACATTAGAAACATGCGCAGTTGTAGCTGGCCAGAACAAGCAAGGTCGTGGGTAGCATAACTGTGTATCAGCATTTCAGCCTTCTTCCCAGCATGCATTCAAACAACAGTCACAAATGAACCAAAGTTAATACCTGAATACATTCATGATGTCAGAATCACATGCACCATGGAAGTGCTAAGCACACCCACCAAGTCAAACCTGTTAGGCAGTGGCAGAGTACAAAGTGGGTCATAAAATGCGTACAACACAAGTGAGTGAATCTTCTCTCAGCCGGGACTGTCATTTTGCATGTAGAAAGTCCCAGGTTCAGTCCCCAGGATTTCCAATTAAAAAAAGGATTAGGCAGTAGGTGACGTGAAAGATGTTAGACTCCGGAGAACTGTTGAACTTGATAAACAAATGGGCTGACTCAGTGTATTTGTATTTTTGTATTTCTCTTCTTTGCCCAGTGGTTAAGCTTTGGAAGTATGTCAATGGTTTTATGTTTGATAATATATTTACTATGTATTTGTTAGTTGTAGTATATGTGTCTAATTGTCTATTTCTTTTATTTTTACAGCAATTGTTTTCTGGTCTCTATTGCCTATTCTGTATATGTATGATTGTATATATTTTTACATATCAGCCAACATGTTCTATTTGTATTAGACCTCTGAGGAAGGCCTGTAAAGGCCGAAATGTGTTAGGTCTATTTCATCAGCCTTTGTATGTTTTTATATTTGTATATGAGGTATGAATGGGCCTTTATTCATTATTTTAATTTGTGTTTAATAAATACATGTATATTTTTTAGGTTTCATAATTAGATTTTAAGAGTTGGCCCTCTTCTATTCTTGACTAACTTTTATAGGTTCTGGATCAGGCCAATGGCCCATCTAGTCCAACACTCTGCCACACAGTGGCCAAAAACACCAGGTGCCATCAGGAGGTCCAGCAGTGGGACCAGGACACTAGGAGCCCTCCCACTGTTGACCCTCCCCCCAAGCACCAAAAATACAGAGCATCACTTGCCCCAGACCGAGAATTCCTACCTATACCTTGTGGCTAATAGCCACTGATGGACCTCTGCTCCATATGCTTATCAAAGCATAACTCAGTGGGTACCAAATGAAGCTGATGGGCAACAGATGCAGGACAGACAAAAGGGATTATTAAATTGTGGGATTCACTGATAGTAGATCTAGTGATGGCCACTAGCACAGATGGTTTTGAAAGGGGATTAGAATAGATTTATGGGGGATTGGTCGATCAGTGGCTACTAGCCACAATGATTAAAAGGAACCTGTACATTCAGAGGCAGTAAACTTTTATATTCCAGCATTTGGAGGCAACATTAAGAGGAGGCCTTGCCCTCTGTGACCCTAAGATTGCCTCTTCAGAGCAACAGATTGGCAACTGTGTGAAATAGAGTTCTGGACTAGATGGACCACTGGTCTGATCTAGCAGGGAACATCCCATTTTTTCTTATGCTAGACTGCTGGCCCGACATCACCCCATGAGTTTTGTGGCCTTAACAGGGATTCAGACCCATGCAAAAGTTCTACACACTAGCCACTATACCACAGTTCCTAATCCAGAGAACTTTGTGGACCAGATTTCCAAAGTAATTAATAAAACCCAGGCTGCGGGCACACACACTAAATAATCCACTTTTAATGCACTTTCCAGCTGGATTTTTATTGTGTGAACTGGCAAAATCCAGTTAGAAAGTGCTTTAAATGTGGATTATTTAGTGTGTGTGACTGCAGTTCCAGTTACCCTTTTTTTTTTGGCATGTGAACAGATAATGTTTACAATATGAGACAGAGACACTGAGAAGTTTATATTTCAAATATTCTAAATTGTAATATTTTTGTATTTCAGATGTTTCTCTAAAACAAAAAAACATGGACAAGTATGAAATAGTTAAAAAGATTGGGGAAGGCGCCTTTGGCAAAGTATTCTTGGCTAGAGGAAAAGAGGATAACCGACAGTGTGTTATCAAAGAGGTCAATTTAATGAAGGTAAACTACCATTATTTTCCAGTCGCAAATATCTTCTTGAACCATGTACCTGCTCTGACTTGGCTTGTGAAATAATATTTGCTGAGTAAATAGCAAACTTCTTCATCTGACTGCAGTATACAGTTGGTAGGAAGAGGTGAAATAGCTTTTGTGCTAAGTGCCTGTTCTACATACCATGAAAATCACACAGTGGTCCAGCCATGGTTTGTGTGTGTGTGTATTGTTAGGTTTCAGAATACAGTAATGTAAAATACAAGCTTAACTGTGGTTTGTTGTCTAGGTAGTTCATATATACACACAAGCATAAATAGAGAGAATGAGCGAGAGAAAAACTTGTAGAAGGAAACTGTGAAGTTGTAGCCAAAGACAGGGCAGCCACTGCCATCAGACACTTTCTGAAGCATGTTACTTGGCCATTGAAAAGAAGGACACACATCCACTGCTAATACCACTTCTGTGCCTTTCAAAATGCTTTTTCATTCAGTCCCCAGTTTTGAAATCCCACTAGATTAGTGTTCTGCTGGCCATGTTGGTATCCAGAGAGTTTATATATGCTTTCATTTATATTCTGATGTATTTGTGGAGTGCCTCCTTAGCATACAGAAGGTCTTAGGTTCAAGCCCCAGCATCTCCAGCTACAAGAATCAGATGGAAGGTGATGTGAAAGACCTCCACCTGAGATGCTGGAGTTCTGCTGCCAGTCTGAATAGACATTATGGATCTTGATGGACCAAGAGTCTGATTCACTATAAGGCAGCTTCATATGTTCAACAGCAGTGAACTGATTTGAGAGACCTGCATGCAGAATTCACAGTTACATATAGCCGTATGCTGACGATGCTGTTCTTTTATCCCAGACAAGAATTGGCCTGAAGCGAGCCCTGATAAAATGTAGACACCGAATTACTATCTATTAATTTCGCTGAAACTAAATTGTCAGTTTTGGTAACTCATTCAGGAAGTTCAACTGGAATATTAAAGGAAATGCCATAGATCAAGTTAAGAACTTTCAATACTTAGGCATTACCTTTTCTTATAATTCCAAATTCTCAGCACATCAGTCCTCATCAGCTAACCTGGCAGAGAGAAGTGCAAATGCCATTCTTGGATTATTTAGAAGGAAAGGTGCAGACTTTCTCCCCATGGCCTTAAAAACCTTCCAGGCAAAATCATTGGCTCAACTCCTGTATGGCTCACAAATTGGACTTTCTGCCAATCTAAAGACCCTTGAAAGGGTTCAGTCTAAATTTCTTAGATCTCTATTTGGCGTTCCTAGAAGCACTTCTAATGTAACACTTAGGCAAGAGGCTGGGCTACTCAGAGTTGAAGCAAAGGTCTGGGAACAGGCTATAACACTCTGGCTAAAAATTCATCACAACCCAAAGGGTTTAATACCTTACCTCTTAGCCTCGGGCCCTTACCCTGCCTGGTCCACACAAATTCTTAATAAGTTAAATCAGATTGGCCTATTCCCAGAAGATCTCTTCTATGGAAGCCTATACAAGGCAAGAACAGTTGTCGTGCAGAGGCTTCGTGATATTGAATTACAAAATGAAGAAGCTTCACTACCCAAGAACTTCAGAAATATAAAATCTTGGCCTAATTTTACTGTCTGCTGCCCCTTATTTAGTTAACATTACCTATGAACCTGTAGGTGGGCCTTTTCCAGAGCCCGTTTTGAGGCACTCTCTTCCGTTGTACTGCAAGGTAAATTCACTCGAGTTCCAATGCATGAACATATATGCCCATGCATGGCTAATATGGTGGAATCAATTACTCCTGTCCTCCTGTTCTGCAGATTCTATCAGGAGGAACGAGACCATCTTATACTACCCCTTCTGTATAGATTTAGCCCTCTGCAGTCTTATCTTGACTTTAGGCCAGAAGTCCTTCGTAAATTCCTCTTAGAAGATGTTCAGAGCGCAGTGACTTACACTGTGGCAAAATTTTGTTGCTTATTAGCTATTAGGAGGAGGAGGAGGATTTATAACCCCCCCTTCACTACCCAAAGGTGTCTCAGAGCGGCTTACAAGCTCCTTTCCCTTCCTCTCCCCACAACAGACACCCTGTGAGGTAGGTGGGACTGAGAGAGCTCTTGACAGAAACTGCTCTTTTTCAAGGACAGCTCTTATCAGAACTATGGCTTGCCCAAGGTCATCCAGCCAGGTGCAAGTGGAGGAGTGGGGAATCAAACCCGGTTCTCCCAGATTAGAGTCCGCACACTTAACCACGACACCAAACTATTAGGAAATGTAAACTTATTTTAGCTGGAAAAATTGTATGATTCTCTTATTAACATTATTTTATTTTACTAATTTTATTAATTTTCTCTTGTTAATGCTTTTATACTATTCCTCTGTTATCACTGTTTTAATCCGTCTTATATCAGAATTGTACTGTTTTACTGGCTCTTCAAAGCAACCATTTTCTCCAAGGGAGCTGATCTGTCAGCTGGAGAACAGTTGTAAAAGTGGGAGATCCCCAGGCCCCACCTGGAGGCTGGCAACCCTAAGTAGACTACATTACTGTTTCTTATAGAAGCGACTTTCTGTGCTGTTCTATTATATCACTGTTTTAATCCTTTTGTAAAAGTTTCCCCCCTGAACATTTCTGTTTTGCACATTCTGTGAAATGACAGAAGTGTGGAGGCCTTCCAGGCTACTTCAGGTAGGTCGTACCACAAGGCGGGAACCACCACAGAAAAAGCGTGTGAATGGGGCAGTTGCCAGTCTTACCCATTGCAGGGTGTGACCTTCAGAAGGGTTTGTAGATGAGCACAGCTGTCACAGGGGAACATGCCATTAACCACTGTTGTAGGGCTTATCATGACCGCCACTTAGATAATAGTTCAGATGAATAGGAGTTTTTCCCCCCCACTAACTTGTTTCTAAACTAATTTAGATGCTGAGGAAAGAAAAAGAATCCTCTCAGAAAGAAGTTGCTCTTCTGGCCAAGATGAAGCACCCCAATATAGTAGCCTTCTACTCTTCACTTCAAGGTCTCCTTTTTATCTGTGGTTGTCATTTTTTTTAAAAAAATCCTCTTTAAATTTTTCCCCTGAGCAGTGAGCAACTAAAATACCAGGGAACAATTGGTATGTTTGAGGGGAACCTGGTGTCCTCCTTTTCTTCTGAGTCACCCTAATGCCTTACATAAATAATTGTCATCATGCTATAATCTGGTGGGGTTTTTTGGAAGCATCCCGAGTGCTTCACAAATAAAATAGATGAGCTCTTGCTTTCGAGGGCTGACAATGTTGATAAGGTAATTTCTGGCTCCCCCCCCCCCCCAACCCCCTTGTAGTCTCCTATCATAATTTTTTGTTGCCTTGAGGCAAATTCACTTTATTATGGAGTAAACAATGGAATGGGTGTTCCTGGTGTCCTGTTGGTTTCAGTTACCTTGTGAAGGGCAGCTATTTTATTGACCTTGCTCTTGTGGCTTTAACAGACTCCTTGATCAAACTGTTTCTAGAAATAGCTATGACTATAAATGTTAAATAAATAGTGTACCCCTTTGAGCAGATTTAACAGAACTGTGGTAATAAGACACAATACAGTAGCTTTGTGTTTTGTTTTGATTAAATTTACCGTTGAAGCACTGGAAGCAGTTAATTGATGTATTGATAATTGATGCAAAAATATATTCAAAGCCCAATATATTTTATTGTAGAGAAAAATAAGCTATATATTATTATGGAGTACTGTGATGGAGGGGATCTAATGCAGAAAATACAACAACAGCGTGGAGTGTTGTTTGAAGAAGACAAGGTAGGTTTGCATTTTGAAAAACTTTCCCTTCACTTCATCACAGAAAGAAAGAAAAACAATTTTCACTTCTCTGGTGTTGATTGGATTTCCTTATGTATGAATGTATATTTTGACTAGGACCAACTTTTGGGAAGGTCAGCATCTACCAAGAGTGGCATTTGAACTCGTCCTTCCTTCTTTTTGAGGCAACCGTTTCTTAAGGAGAGCAAGTCTCAAGGGGACATTTACAATGGGATCCTAAGCCAATGTAACTCTGTTTAGGCTGGCACTGTTAAGCTGTTAGTGTGCATACCCTTTCAACTGGGCATAGTCTCCTTGATTTTACTATCTATTATACAAGTGCAACTGCCACTGCGGCTAATAGATGTGTTTCTGGTTAGAAGGGCTGCCACTGTAGAATCTACATTTAAAAAAAAATATTTGGGGAGTACAACTCTTACCTAATAATTTTTCACTTTTTACTGTTCCTTTGAAGATTTTCTTTTTGTGCTTCTTTTTCAGTAGTCTAGTTCTGTAGAAATTCTAATGATATAAAAGCTATTGTATGTTTTGTTTTTTGCACATAGATCCTGGATTGGTTTGTACAGATATCTTTAGGACTAAAGCATATACATGACAGGAAGATTCTACACAGAGATGTAAAAGCACAGGTGATTTTTGGAGCTCATTTTTCATTTGCCATCAAGGGGTAAATGTTCATTATATTTTCAGCATGGCATACCATTTTCTTTGCAGAACATTTTTCTCAGCAATAATGGAAAGACAGTGAAACTTGGAGACTTTGGGATCGCAAGAACATTAAGCGAGTAAGCGTATTCTATTGTTGATGCTGGATCTTTAAATGGAGGCTTTGCTCCTTAGTATATTGAGGTGGAGAAAAATTTGGAGAATAGAATGTACATACTCAATCTATTATAAATTATTGCTTTTCATATTAGTGGGTGGTATTAGATTCTCTTAGTGGATTGTGGTAAAACATTTGATTGTATGATTTTTTTAAAAGATCCGTGGAAGAAAATCTGTAATTTTGAACTGTTGCTCAAACACGGTAATGTGGATCTTTCCTAAAAGACCATGAAGTTTGCACTGAATATAATTTCTGTAAAATATAACCATTGCTTAAATTAATAAAACCTTTTAAATTCCTTTGGCTATATTTTTCAAGCACGTTTTTTTAAATCACCATTTTCTTTAGTACTATGGAATTTGCTTGTACCTGTGTAGGAACACCATACTACCTATCTCCTGAAATCTGTGAGAACTGCCCATATAACAATAAAACGTAAGTATCAGACTGTTTCTCACTGACTTTCCACTGAGTGTGAGAGTGGCTGAAAATCTGAAACAGTTTTGTAGTCTCATAAGTTAATGGAAGTAGTTGTTTCTGCCATTTTTGAATATGGCAACTTTCCCTGGCCAAGTTAGATTTTTTTTAAAAAAATCATTTTATTTATATCAGTTATCAAATGAATAACCCTGTGGTTTTCAGCTTTTTTAATTCTAAATGTTTAGGTTGGGCCTATATTGTTGGTAATTGCACTGTACTAATGGTTTGCAAAACTCTGAATGGAGTTTTTTTAGCCATTTTGGAAAGACCATTTCCTTTTGAGGGAATTACACATAGCAAAATATGTTGCAGTTAGCTGTCTAGGAACAATGAGGTGTTATGGAACCAGCTCTTTTATAAGAAAACAAGAAAGGGGACCCGCGATACTCGCGGGGGGGCAGAGCAGGCGGAAGAGGAAGCAGCAGGAACAGGTAAGCTTCCCCCCGCCGGTTCCCC